AGCTACCGCCATGTGTCCGAAGCATAATTACCCTTCCCGTGACAAATGTTCTTATTACGCTTTCATTCCTCTAGCATCTTAGTTAGGTTGCTGACAAGTAACTTATTACCCTCCTCCTTAGCCCTTTTACTGGCCTGGTACACTTATTTCAGCCTCACTGGAGACGAGGTGATGCTACTGAATGTTGCACCTCACTTCGAAGCCTCCAACACGCCGCTACTCTGGCACGCAACAACCTTAGGGACCCTGGATCACCTGCAACCATCTGTAGAAGCCTAGTAGAGCCTGTCTCAAGACGCGTCATCAGTGCATAAGGCATTCAAATGGCTTGAGAACGAGCCTTTTGCGTGGCCGAGCGATGTCAACGTTATGCTCAGATGGTTCCCTCTTCACACCTACCCCAGCTGTTTCCTCCCAATCGGATGCAGCTGTTCACTCTACTTTCTCTTTTGACACTTCCTCTGGGGCAAACGAATCACTATTGCAAGGAAAAGCTGCATGAAAGGACGCCTCGTCAGACGGCAGAACGGGAGAACAAGAGACGCAGAACAGAGCAGGGAGAGACAGGGACAGAAGACAGTCTCGCTCGTTACCGCTCGCCCTCGGCACCCGGGGCTCGGGGCTCTCGTGGGGCCACACATTACCTCCCCCTTTAAACCCTGTAGCCAAGACCCCTTTTATTCACCTGCTCTACGCCAAAACCTTATTACATCTGGCGTCTAGCGGTGGGCGAACCTCTACGCCCCAGCCTGTGTGTGTGTGTGTGTGTGTGTGTGTGTGTGTGTGTGTGTGTGTGTGTGTGTGGTGTGTGTGTGTGTGTGTGTGTAAATAGGTTAACAGTCCCAAATGGAGCTCCCACCGACACATACATATTGATCCCCGCAAAGAAGAAAACTCACGTTTGAATCAGCATAACTTCGTCCACAGGATGAGAGGAGCTCGTCAGCACGGGGAAGGCAAAGATCACGAACGCCGCCGCCCACATCACGCCCGCGTCAGTTTCCTCTGTCAAAAGTAAAAAAAAAGAACAAGCCTTTAAACTCGTACACCAATACATTCCTTCACATCCTTTTAACACAGAATAAATCTACAATCTCGATAAAAATCTATTTCTCATTTTTCCACAAAGATGAATTCCTTTCTCAGCGAACCTTCACCTCCTTCGAAGAACGAGAGCGATCCCAGCCTCGGGTTCGAGCCGACCTTTCCCCTTCGCCAGCCCGAGCACGACTGAAAAATCCCTGCTTGTTGAACCTCTTCCCACCCGCGCTCCAGCTGTTCCAGTACCGGCGTTCAATATATCTAATGACCGTCAAAGAACGATCGACCAAGGAGTGAACAGTATGTGCAGATACGAAAGCGTGTATCATTTGTTTACGTCGTGTTTTCATTCATTTTCGAACGCGGGTAGGTCGTCTTAATTTGCCTTTGATACAATTACTTTTTTTAAGTATTAGGGAATTAGGAAAGAAAGTCTTCCTAATGATGAATCGCACACACACACACACACATACACACACACACACACACACACACACACACACACACACACACACACACACACACACACACAAATATATTTATATAGATAGATAGATAGAGAGATAGATAGATAGATAGATAGATAGATAGATAAATGCATAAAAAAACAATGAATTTCACTGCTACAATACAGGTCACTGACCACGGTTTCTGACAGACAGATGACCTCTGCGTGACTGATCTAACTATCAGAGGCTACTTTGGGTCTTAGAGTAACGCTTAACAAGTTTATTTAAATTATTCTATTTTATTTATTTTATTTAAAGGAGGTAGAAATGTATAAAACCTTATTAGGAAATTTCTTGCAAAAGAGGAAACTGTAAAACGCTGCAAGAAATTACTGAAAGTTATTATCATTAACTTAATCATTATCATTATTACTATTGTTGTTGGTGATGTTTTGTTATCATTATCATGATTACTGCTGTTATCATTGTCGTTGATATCATTATCATTATCAATATCATTCATATTATTATTATTATCAAACTAAATTAGTTAAAAATGAATAGATAAGTAAATGATAGATGAAAGAATGAGAGATAAATAACAGATAAATAATAAATGAACGGATAAGTGAATAAACCAATTAATCAATTAATAAAAAAGTGAATAGGTAAATAAATAGACAAGTAAATAAAATGAATATTCTCCTTTACTAAGAAGATGGATCACCTGTCACAAGCCGAATGGGGGATACAGGTAAATCAATCAGCGATAAAAAAGATAAAGCCAAAAGCGAATGATGATGATAAATTGATAATAATAATAATAATGTGACGTAATCAAATCAATAAATACGTGCTCTGAAAACGTTTTTATTTTTTATTTTTATTTTTTTTCTCGGTGGGACATCTTTCACAATTTCTCGAAAGATGGGATTGATACAGTAACGGGGGGGGGGGGGGGGGGGAGAGAGTCAATAGATGGTACATGTTCAGTAACGAAGGACACCCATGACACTGTCTTGATTGATGACTAGTAGATATGCGATAAAAAAGCAATTATACACAAACAAGCTTGACTCACCTTGCAGAAAATTCATTATGAGTGGGTATGCGTATGTCATATTTTGAATTTTTCATATACGAATAATCTAAATTTATTGTACTTAATTTTTGTAATGTTATTTTTTTGGGGTAGCGTAACCTAACGGTCATAAGGTGGGTTGTGGATGACTTCATTCGTCTGTTGAGTGCGTGCCAAATATTATAATGGACATTAACCATTAACATTGTATTTGATAATATAATATATATATATATATATATATATATATATATATATATATATATAATATATAATATGTGTGTGTGTGTGTGTGTGTGTGTGTGTGTGTGTGTGTGTGTGTGTGTGTGTGTGTGTGTGTGTGTGTGTGTGTGTGATTTTTCATATATAAAAGATAAAAATCAAAATATTACGAAATAATATTAGGAGAATTTCAATAATTATCTTTATTCAAGTGCGATAAGAATTTGCCTCTGTTTTTATCAAATGTTTGATATATGCATGGCAGTTGCAAGCAAGGCGAAATGTGCCTGAACAACAGATAATATTTAATTTTTTAAATACTGTCATAGTGATCTTAACTATAACCATTATGATGATAATGATAATGATGATGATGATGATGGTGATGAACATGATAGTAATGGCGATAATATTGATAATGATAGTGATAACATCAACAAAGATAACAAGCGTATCAATTCACATTCTTCACAGACTACAATCAGTATACTCAGAAACAGCGCAAGCAACAATTACTCTAACCTTGAACATCGACAGCAAAATGAGTGGGCATTGTGAAGAAAAAAATAACGTAATTTAATTCACTGACCCTGAAAATGCAAGAATTACCTCGTTGGGTCGTTCTCTGGGTATTCATTTAGGCTTCTCTTTTATACTCAGTCTCTCTTTGTGAGCGTTTGACTCAGAGAGCCTTCGTGTTTAGGCTTCTCTTTTATACTCAGTCTCTCTTTGTTTTGACTATCGTGTTTAGTCTCTCTGAGCGCTACACAAGGCTGACTAACAACACGAGAGACAGAGAGCCTTCGTCAGACAAGGCTGGCTGACTAACAACACGAGAGACAGAGAGCCTTCGTGTTTAGGCTTCTCTTTTATACTCAGTCTCTCTTTGTGAGCGAGGCTGGCTGACTAAACACGAGAGACAGAGAGCCTTCGTGTTTAGGCTTCTCTTTTATACTCAAGTCTCTCTTTGTGAGCGCTACACAAGGCTGACTAACAACACGAGAGACAGAGAGTTTTCGTGTCCTCAACGACCTTATCACTTCGCCTTGGTTAATACACAGGGTAGCTGACTGAATAATATATACAGACCATTATTCTCCTGAAAAAATAACTCGAAACGATCGATAGAAAATGCTGAAATACGAGGTACTGGTACTTGATTCTTCGACGATGAATTGGAAAATAGTCGATGTCAGAAGGTGAAAATACAATTAAAAGGGGAAAACATTAAATTAAAACATTTTTCTTTTGGATATAATTAATTCAGCGATTTATCACAAATTCACAAGCGTGCTTTCGCCTTGATGATTATGATCATTATTATTTACATTGTAAAAATGATGATAGCAATTGTAGCTGTGAAGATAGTAATAGTGATAATAATGATAGTGATAATAGAACTATCATCATTATTATTATCATCATTATTGTTATATGTAGTAGTGGTAGCAGTAAATAATATAACAATAATAGTGATAATAACAGTAATATTTTTGTTATAAGAGTAATAATAATTATTATTATCAATATTATTATCATTTTGACATCATTTTTATTATTCTTATCATTAGTGTTATTATCATTATTAATATTACCATTATCATTATCATCACCATCATCAACTTATTGTTTTATCATAATTATCATTGTATTTATCATTATCAACACCATCATTATTATTATTACATTTATTATCATTATTGATTTTATCGTTATCATTAACAGTATCAAAATTGTTATTATCATCGTCATTATTATCATCATTATCATCAATATCATTAGCTGTAGTATCATTAACACAGTTACTGAACTATTACTGTACTGTTGTTACCACTGTAGTTGCTGTGGCTGTGGTTATCAATGCTGTAATTACTACTGTTATCTCTATATCATCCTTAACAATATCATTACCATTACCTATCTTCTTGGTATCTTATCCTTATCACCACAATGAAACTCATCACCGTCATTATCACGATTGCTTTTGCTTATACACATTATCTTTAGTTTTATAGTCATCGTCCCTCTTGTCCTAAAAGAGAAACAACAATAACAATGCTAATGATAAAACGGTCTTTTACATCAGGATACGTCTTGCAAGTCACCACACTCCCTTTTATCACACCGTATCAGTGCCAAAGATACTTGCTATGTATAAGCTACTTTGGGGCAATATGGTGATAGTGGGATAACAGTGAGATAACAGTGACCAGACGGATTTCATCAAGGTCGATCATTTCTCTATCTTGAAGCCGTTGTAGCAGGTCAGTGACGGCAGGGTAACGGAAGGGGTAAGTTAGTAAACTGGTAGAAGTATAGACAATGCATTCGTTTTTGTGTGTGCCGTGTTACAACGGTGTTTAATAGTGTATAGTAGTCTAGTAGTCTAAGTAATGTAAGTTGAATGTATTTGAAAGTGCAAGGAGTGTTTTACTTTTTTTCATCTAATCACACTTTGGTGCTGTACATTCATATCAAAATATAGGTGAGTTGATATGTTTATACACACATATATGTATATATGCATATATGCGCACACACACACACACACACATATATATATATATATATATATATATATATATATTATATATATATATATATATATATATGCACACACATAAACACACATGCGCGCACACACACACACGCGCGCACGCGCGATACACAGATACATATGTATATATAATATATATATAAATATATATATATATATATATATATATATATATATATATATATATGCACACTTAAACACACACATGCGCACACACACGCACGCGCGCGCGCACGCGCGATACACAGATACATATGTATATATACATATTTACACACACGTGGATATATATTTATATACGTATACACGCGAGCCCCCACACGCACGCACGCACCCACATTTATACATAGGCCTATATATTTTTTTCATTTTATAATGAATAATGCTAATTATGTCGAATAAGTATAATGAACATATATATGAATAAAGTCTTGATATAAAAGGGTATAGATATCTTATGAACTCTCGCTATGACAGTTTGAGTAATTCCGAACTTTAAATGGGAAGTTTGGTACATGAAACCACCTCGTAATAAAATCAGAACTCCTTAAATATTTCAGAATAGTGTAACAGACTCCTTTTTGCTATATGATTTCATCAGTTACCATTTATCAAGCAAGATATAGTATTGTAAATTATTTTGGTGTTAAATGAGACAGGAGAGAGAACAATGAAGCTAACAGGGAACGTAGTTTTTCGGTTGAACTTGTCGAGTTGGGGACTGTTGTGATTCAGTGCTTGTCGTCTGCGTGTTTGGGTAAAGTTGTGTTACTCTTCAATTATTGCTAGTTTTGGGAGTAAATACTATGAATTTAAACATCTTGAGTAATTATAATCATGACATATGATTGTAGAGAGAGTAGGGGTTGTGTTTAAAGGCTATCTAAGGAGAACTTTACTTGTGACATGTGCATTCAGGTTCCTTTGCTGTCGCTGTCGAGCTCTCCTTGTCCGCCATTACCTCTTTTTTTGGTCTCGGGATAAATTTTTAGTTCGAAGGTGCATGAACGTTCAGTTTCCTATATATGCATTATGGTAATTATTCATCAAGTTGGCACGAAGGGTATTTGTTACAGAGAGCGACGCACCCTCCCAGAGACTAAGTCGAAAAAATAACGTTTTTCTGCAGGAAATCCAATGGTTTCATCAATTCTCGGGGTTGTTTCTGTAAAACTCTACGGGAATTCACACATTCCAAAGGGAGAGAAAACCGTTTAGAGGGTAGACTGAATCATTGGAAAGTAATATCTAAGTATTATATAGAAATTCTTAGTTTTTGTAGAGTGTGTCAGACGGGAATAGCAATGCTGCGATTGATTATTAAATTTGTTTGACATTGATTATTTTGCAGAGAATATAAAGAAATTAAAGGACAAGAGTGACACCGGCAATTTTCTATATTACGTCCGCATAACCGATATCGACGATTTTGGTATCGTTGAATTCTTCTCTCTATACAATGCAAATATGTAGGTTTTATTGCTCGGAAACCCCCGTTAGCGGCAAACTTGGCCCCGATAACAATGGAGGGCATGGAAGGTTCCATGGAAAATGCGGGGTTAAATAACACTTATAATATAACGCACAGTGAAAATAACCATGGTTATTCACATGACTCCTTTGCAGGGGGCTGTGCCCCCTGCGATTCCCCCTGGGGGGGGGGGGCTGCCGTCCCCTAACCCCGCCGAGGAAACAAAACCTCCACGTATTCCCGGCTGGCGAGAGCGTTACACAATCATCGTCGATGTCGGAGGGTTTTGCGCCTCTTTCGATGTTACACCGATGGCCTCAAGGTCGAGTTTCCCGTCCTCTGGAATAACGACATCCGTTTTCCTAACCGAAATAACCGTCGCGTTCAGCAGTCCGCCACAGCCGCCGCGATGGCCGAGTGTGGAGGGTGCTCGTACTCGGAGACGGATTTCCTGCGCGAAATGTCGACCAGCCAGGAAGAAATGTTCGAGATGCCTGTGGCCGCAGGAAGAAGCACTTCGCAGGGTACCTGGCTCGGTGCATGTTCCTCATGCACTACCAGGACCTGAATGTGAGGTTGCACCACTTCCTGTGCTGCAGCAGCAGCGCTGTATCCTCCGGCCTAGGACCTCCTGCCGGAGGCACCCTGCCTCCTTCCCCTTCTGCGGCAAAGAAGCGCCATCCCCACTATTAGCGGCATTTATCAATTTGGTTAGTACCTTAAAAATCCTAGGTTATTGTAGGTTTTTGCATCTAGTTCGTGTTCGCTCTATCCTGCCGGGAATACGTGGTGGAGGTTTTGTTTCCTCGGCGGGTTGGGGGTCGCAGGGGGCACAGCCACCTGAATGGAAAAGTCATGGGAATAACCATGATTATTTTCACTGTGGGGTTATATTATTAGGGTAATTTTATGTATTACGTCCGCCGCTCCGACATCGTCGCCCCCGATATCGGGGCCAAGGTCGCCGCTAACGGGGGGTTTCCGAGCAATAAAACCTACATATTTGCATTGTATAGAGTGAGAGGAATCCAACAATACCAAAATCGTCGATATCGGTTATGCGGACGTAATATAGAAAATTACCGAAACGTCACATGTTTGTGTGGAAAATGTTTGATAAATAATTAGAACATAACATTGGTAAAGTAAAAGTCTATAGTATTGATCCAATGCTATCTCTTCATAATATTATTGATGTTAATCTTTAATAAGGGTTTATGTGGCCTTATCATTTAAAAAGTAACTTCGTGATTTAATATCAGAATGACTTGCCATTGATTCCGAAGTGACCTTGACATATAGATATAGATATATTCATTCACACATAATGTATATTATACATGTATACACACATACACACACATATATATTATATATGAATATATATTTACACCCACACACATGTATATTACATATGTATATAGAAGTATTTATATATAAATAATGAGAAACTGGAGCCCTTTTCCTCTTTCCCCGAAGACGATGCTGGCGCGCGGGGCACTGCGACCACTCTCCCTCCGGCGCAGCGGCTTGTGCCAGGGGCGTCAGGGAGCTGTGCTAAGGGCGGTCACCTGCCGAGGCGTCTCTGCGGTGTCCTCGGCGCAGGACGCTGCTGTTCCCCCTGGCCTCCCGCGCCCTCCGGAGGAGATCCCTGGCCCGAGACGCTGGCCCTTGCTCGGCTCCCTCCCGGCGCTCACGGCTCGCAAAGGTCAGTTATTTGATTTTTGATTTGTTCTATTACCGCTTTTTATCGATTTACGATCAATGAGGTATTCCAATTCACGTCCGGAATGATTCTGGAAATATTTGCTCGCCAGTAGGACCATATCCTATGCTTGCAAAAACACTTTAAGAACCAAAAAATATCCTAACTCAAGACCGCAGGACGTCTCACGCTCGCAGCCTCCCGCAGACTGGGATCCCGCGCGAATCCACCTGGTGTGGGAGCAGCTGGCCAAGGAGTACGGGCCCATATTCCGCCTGGACGCCCCTGGCCAGGAGAGCCGCGTCTTCATCTCGGACTCGAGGGACATCGAGCACCTGATGAGGGAGACGGCCTACATGCCCACCAAACCCATGTTTGATTCCATCGCCACCGTCAGGAACCACAGCAGGAATATTGAGAGGGGGAAGACCGGCCTCCTGTCCGAGTGAGTAGGAAATGGGGAACGCGAGAGGCCGAGCGAGAGAGAGAGAGAGTGAGTGAGTGAATGAGTGAGGCCGAGAGAGAGAAGAGAGAGAGTGAGTGAGTGAAAGGAAGATATAGGTTGAATGACAGATGGATAGAAAGAAAGAGAGAAAAGAAGACGCGCGGGCGTGTGTGTGTGAGAGAGCGAGTGAAAGGGAGAGATGGATAGATAGACAGAGAAAGAGAGAAAATGCGTGAGAGAAACAGATGGACAGACATTAATGGAGAGATAGAGAGAGATTGCGTGTATGGGTGTGTAGGTATGTATGTAAATGCAGCGTTTAGACATGAAATACCGTCCATCTATCTCTCCAATGCCTATCAAAATCTATCCTTGCAACCTGATCTAAAACACACACATCTTAAAATTTGACTTCCCTCTGCTTAAGCGACTAACAGACAACAAAACGACGGAGCCAAGTCGTGATCACAAAGGCCAAAAATGTCGCTAAACAAGAACTAACGACGGCGTATTCACAGGCAGGGGGACGAATGGTGGCGTCTGCGGCGACTCACGCAGCCGCCGGCCATGAAGGTGAAGACCGTGGCGCATTACCTGCCGGACATCGACCTCGTGGCCCAAGAGTTCCTCGACAGGTGAGCAAAAAAACAGAAACAAAAAAAAACAGGAAGGCTGATGAGAAATAGACAAGTAAACAGGTCATCAGTACTAATAAAAGGACAA